CATGGGCAAAAATCCTTTTAGGCTTTTTACCAGCTCGATGTGCTCTATAAAACGAGGTATGAATGAAGGAACTCGGAGTTGTGTCCCTGGGGCGGTTCTCTCGTCAGCGAAAAATTTAAGAGAGGGTCAAAACTTGGATGATTTTCAAGATGGGTGGATGGTTTTCTAACTTAAAAATTGAGCTAAACCTTGTCTGAGTCTTATCCCATGTAAAACTGAATACTAAACCTTTGTCACCCATATTTTTGCTTCAAAATGCCTCCCAGAAAAGAAACTGCAGTTAAGGTTTCAAAAAAGCGCACCATTTGCATCAAAATCTTGTTTTCGATTTTTTTTTGCACAATTTCGTGCAATGGGAAAATACGCAATTGAAGAAGTGCAATGTATGAATGTCGGTAGATCGAATCTAGGAGAAGAACTTCAAAAATTGTTCTAATCAAAAACTATCCTATAAACAGTATTTCTCCATAATTTGATGTACTCTATCAAAGGGTACAAGAATCAAATCGTCAGATTGAAATTTGAAAATTTTATTTAAATTTCAAGAATGGGACATAAAGACCGATAAAAATCGAAAACCAGTTTTCTCAAATCCGTAGCTGGTCTCTACAAATTGATGGAGTTGGGGCCAAATCTAAACGGAACGATCCTCCGTAAAGCAGAGAAAAGTGTTTTATTCATTAATTTTCACAAGTCAATTTACAGTGATATGTGCATACAACATTGAGACAAGTGTCACGGATCAGTCTATGATCGTCCGACTAAAATAACCAGCGCTGTTGAGAGTCCAATGGCCATAAGTAAATGCAACAGAAGAAAAGCACCCTTTATTTTTGTTTTCAACGGATTTCCGTCTGTTGTTATTCTCACATCGGTGCTTCGCCCATCCAAATTGATTCGTTCAGTTTTTCTTATTGATTCGTCTTCACCGTCGATTTTCCATAATCTCTCAATACACTCAAACACAAGAAATAAAACGAATATCCAGCAAGTCCATGTTGTCATTATAGCCCAACCAGAATTTGTCTGGAAATTGCTGATATAATCCTTGAAAAACGTGGCCAGAAAGAGAGCGGCAATTGACAATACAAATGCACTGAACCCGACGAATGCATGTAGATAATTGTAGAGAAAACGATAACGACTTTCTGGGTGACATCTGAATAGTGCCATAAAAGGTTGAATGAAGGCGAATGCAACAACGATTATCCCGATGATCGAATGAGCGTAATGCCTTGAACTGTTCTTCTTGACCCAATTCCCTTTCAAAAAGGCCAAGATGAAGAGAAAGGCCAAGACTGTCAGAATGGATACAGATGACATCAATAAGCGATGAATGGCGAACCAGGGGGCTTCGCCACACAGTTTTCTCTTATCATTCATAGGAGTTCTTCTAAAGTATCTGGCAATTATGATTCCCGTTGAGGCAATCAACATCCAGATGTAAATCATCAGACAACCGTGGGCTTTCACCAGACCACTCAATGATGATGATGAATCCGACTTGTAAACGATTTTTTCGTCACGGTTCAGCGATACCAATTGACTTTGAGCTTCTCGATTTGAATGTTTTTGCATCACGTCTAAGAATGAACGGGTGGACAATAACAATGGGGTGTTTTCCTTATAGTTATTTTACTTTGTACCGTAAGCTTCAGCAAAAGTACTCTACATTTACAAAAACTTATTTTTAATTTAGGTATAAGTTTGGCTAGATTACAACTAAGTCAAAACTATTTTGAATTCCGCTGACTTAGGCACGACATACATATCTATATATTTTGAAGTGTGAAAAGAAATGATAATTGTAATTCATATTTACTGTTGTTATCAAGGACGCCAACTGCAAATAATGGATAATACTGTGTCGTCTGCGATAATACCTTTGCCGTGTCTTGCCGTTTGTGACGACTGCTAAAGCTCGATAAACTGAATTCACAAGTGACTAAACCATTCTCTACTCGTCCTGTGGCGTTAGCGAATGCCCCTCCATCTGCTGTCTCTGCATCTCTCGGAGGTGTGTGACCGTCTGGATTGTACATTCTCTTTACAATCGCACTATTATCGGCCAGGTACTGACAAACAAACACATGATCGTCACCCTAGGACAAACAACAATAGATCGTTTAACAATCTTGAGAAAAGCGAATGAGTTACCATGGATTGATCCGACGAGAGTCCAATGGCTACCCATTGTTTGTTTTTTAAATTGGTAATAACCATTTTCACATCCGTAATTCCATTTGCAAAAGTCCATGTTGCATCCATACTAACGGTACTAGTCGGTGAAGGTGTAGTGGAAATTTGTGATGGTGTATTCATATTGTAAACAATTTTTTCCCCACGGTTCAGCAATACCAGTTGATTTTGAGCTTCTCGATTTGAATGTTTTTGCATCACGTCTAAGAATGAACGGGTAAACATTAACAATGGAGTGTTTTCCTTATAGTTATTTTACTTTGAATTGTAAGCTTCAGTAAAAGTACTCTACAATAATAAAAACTTATTTTTAGTTTACAGTGACACTCATGTGGAATGCGTTAATTGCCTCCATACTTGATACTATTTTGTCGAGTTTTGGTTAAAGAAAGTATTTTCTTCGTGCTCGTAAAAATGTTATATTTTTCTCTTCGATTAAGGGTCAAAATCCTTTTTTTTTGTTTGTCTGTTTGTCAAGATTTTGTCTACTAGGATTCACCGCGAAGCAATAATTATTTATTTTTTCATTAAAGAATTTAATTATCTAGTGCACCACCAGTCAGATGTTTGAAATTTGCTTTGATTTTGTATGAAAGTAGAATATTGAAGGATAATTGAGAAAACTTTCTCGACGATTTTAACTTTAAGAATCATCTGAAAATTCGAAAAAACAGCTATGGAGTACATTCGGAATAAGTCATATCGACGAGATATACAGCATTTTTTCGCCTTCTATTTCCTAGACTGCGTCGTGAAACCTTGACAAAAGAACACCCGCAGCGCCGTTTGGATTAATCCCTCAAAACTCCGGTCCATATAGGGGTATTAACCCCTAAAACTACCTTTGCAAGGCATTTTGGCACTACTGAAAACTGGTATGCATATGTTGCGCCAATGTTAGCAAGTTTGCCTAAGTTACAACTGAGTCAGAACTATTTTGAGTTCCAAACAGCTGACTTAGGCACGACATACATATCTATATATTTTGAAGTGTGAAAAGAAATGATAATTGTAATTCATATTTACTGTTGTTATCAAGGACGCCAACTGCAAATA